TTGACACTCCTATGGATCCGAATGCTAAGCTTCTGCCTGGACAGGGGGAGCCTCTTAGAGATCTACGAGATATAGGAGGTTGGTTGGCAAATTGAATTACCTCACATCGACTAGGCCTGACATTTCTTTTCCGGTGAGTGTTGTAAGTCAGTTTATGGATTTTCCCTGTGATAGTCACTGGGATGTAGTTGTTCGCATTCTTCAGTATATAAAGCCAGTTCTAGGCAAAAGATTACTATTCAAGAATCGAGGCCACGAGCAGATTGTTGGATACACAAATGTTGATTGGGCAGGATCACCTTCTGATAGGCGTTCTACATCTGGATATTGTGTTCTAGTAGGAGGTAATTTGGTCTCTTGGAAGAGCAAGAAACAGAATGTAGTTGCTCGATCTAGCGCCGAAGCAGAATATCGGGCCATGGCTATGGCAACGTGTGAGCTAGTTTGGGTCAAGCAGTTGCTCAAGGAGTTGAAGTTCGGAGAATCAGCAAGATGGAACTGGTGTGTGATAATCAAGTTGCTCTTCATATTGCACCAAATCTGGTGTTCCATGAGAGGACTAAACACATTGAGATCGACTGTCACTTTGTCAGAGAAAAGATACTCTCAAGAGATATTGTTATAAAGTTTGTGAAGTCGAATGATCAACTAGTAGATATTTTCACTAAATCTCCTACTGGTTCTCGTATTAGTAACATCTGTAACAAGCTCGGTACATATGATTTATATGCACCAGCTTGAGGGGGAGCATCAATTAGTTAATCATGTATAGGGTCCCACATCAGGAAGTACATACCTAGTATTATGTTATCACTATATAGATATAGGGCATTGTACAACACTTTAGATAATCAATAAGATTTTTCTCCCGTGCATTCACACAGCCCTAAAGGTGGGGCCCTGTGTAAGGGCGGATGGGAATGTCGGTCTTAGACTTTATCTTAGTTATTTAAATAAAGTAGGGGTTAGGTCTTTGTCCCTCAATTCAGTGATTCAAGGGTTTTAGATAGCATTGAAGAGATTGCTCAGGATGAGTGTTTGGGTAACAAAGCCGAGGAGGGTGTAGTCAAGGAGAGAACTCCCGAGGAGAGTGATCTGCTCATAGAAGTGAGGATCTGAAAGAAAGGGTCAACTATGATAGTGACTGAGGGGGGCTTAAACTGTGATAAACAAATAACTTCAAACAAGAAGCAGGGCATCCAAAAGAGGTGAACCTGAGAAGAGCAGTAATAGTAAGCGTTCAAATACGGGTGCTATGACCAACAAGGTGGAACATTATTTGCGGTTTTACCTATTTCTTGGGGATAATATTATCTCTCCTAAATGTTCTACCACAACTCCAAGACTCTTGACTTATCATCGTCGACAATGCCTACATCAGGCCTAAAAGATTCATGCCTAGAACTAGATCCTTCCTCCTACAAAGGACCTTTCTCCTTCCTATAGTCCTTTAGCACATTTTTAAAATGTTACTCTTTCTAATCATAATTCTCATTCTATTTACACCTTTTTAAGTTATCATCATTGTCATCATCCCAATATGTTTTTATCTCATCTTTGTCATATGTCATTCATTTCTAAGTCTATAGGCAAAACTTTTGCACGTGATGTTTGTCATTGGTCTATGTCCAACTAATAGAAGCTTGTTTATTAAACATCTTATATTTTATAATTCTTTAGAAAAATAAAAAATATCCATTCGTCACTAACGGGTGTGGTGGAATGGTAAAGGTTCCTCCACCCTTAATCTTAGGTTCGAGCCTGAGAACGGAGTCTTGGTAGGGGGCACCAAGACCCCCCATAGTAGGCTTTCTACTGTGCGGCCGGATTAGTCGGCCAACGGATTCTGGACACCGGATGGTTTAACCAAAAGAAAAGAAAAGTATTCATATTCCTACAAATAAAAAAGCACACTCAGAACATAGCTTTCTGCAAAAACTGACTAGTTGATTTAAGTTTGATCATTCTCCCATCTATAAAGTGATTAAACACTTGGGGACGTATGTAAACTGAGAATCGGCTGTTGGAATATAATTGAGTAGGGAAACCCAAAAAAATGTTAACAGAAGCCTCTGCATTTTTTATTTTATTCATATTTATTATCTACTTTTCCTAACTGAAAAACAAAAGGAAGTAGGTCCATATTTGGTATATGTTATCGTATTCATTTATACAAGTTGAACCTTTCTCAAAAAAAAAAAAAAATCTTCTCAACAAGTTGAACTATTCCTACATAATAGAAAAACTTTTACTGCCAGGTTTAGATGAAGATAAAATAATCATATGTTTTTATCGGTGGACCTTGATGCAGCCTTTATAAACTAAACCACCTTTAACACTTCAACTATTAATTCAGGTATCATATGATAGGTTTCTTACTCCACTCTTAGTTGAACTAGCTTATAGGGCACCTACGATGAGTGAATAACACATCAGTCATGCAAATCAAATTCTTCCAGCACATGCCACACAGTATAAGCACAAGAAAATAGATTACCTTTCATAGCAGCAGCTTTTGTGACAGCCTTTGATTCCTCATGAGCATCCTGTGAAGAGCATTGGAAAAGATCTTGAGGTTCTTTATTCTTAACAATTAAATATTTAAGGAAACAATTAAGATCATATATGGATCTTCTGAGCTCCTTTGGTCCCTATGTCTTTGTTTTTGTCCTTTTGGTAACTACCTTATGTTCCTATATCTTACATCAACTAACCTACAAGTCGACGTACACTTCTTGGAATTACCTTTTCAACCCCCTTAAGTGGGTTTTAGTACAAGCAAAGAGAATGAATTTTGTGAATTACTAACATAGAAGAGCTCCTCATTATGTGGAAAAGGGAATCACATTATATGCACTTGAAGCAAGGTGTCCCCCCCCCCAAAAAAAAACAAAGCTAAAATCAGATCAACCTTATTTCTTACACACGATGCTGCTGATAAACCAACTCAAATACTTTTAACTGGGAAAGTGAAGTTGTAGTAACGAAGCCCGGTGCCTTTTAAATTGTTGATTTGGATTGAGTATTATGTAATTACTGCAATTCAACGATAGAGGGGTTCGAACATATCCTATAATTGGTGGGTTTAGGAAAGAGTGTCCTACTGTCAATGGGAGCTATATATGTAGAGACAGAAGGGCTTATTGTATTGTATACATAAATAAGGGTTTTACATAAATAACATACTACATAGTTGTAGTATGTTAGCAATGTATACATATTTGAGTTACCCAAAATACCCTTACTATTTATTGACATCACATTAAATTTAGGGACTTTTTTGTCTTTCACCAAAGTCCCCTTTTTTCTCTGCATTCCCACTCAGCCAATCCTCCATTTCCTCTCTAAAATTCCTATTGCTGTCTTGAAGAAAAAATCACATGGTAACCAAAAAAGTTGGAGGCAAATTAAGATGAGATGAATCTGTTTGTACCGTAGATTAATTCTATAAATTTTCACAATAATCCGCTCCAATTTTCTCGAAGATATAGAAAGTTATATTTTCAGATTTTCCGGTATCTCCAACGCTGGATCCAAGGAGAACGCAGGGCAAAAGGGTAGAAAATAGTGTATGTAGTAAAATCGCTCTTGTCGTTCTCTCCTGCTGTTCCAAAGATTCAACCTTAAACCATTTCTTTTCAATATTATTGGTGGCTTTGCACAAAAATCTCCATCTCCGTTGAAGAAAACCCACTGATGTCGTTCGGAAAGACCAAAATGATAACAATTTGGGTATTTGTTATTATTTACTAAGAATGAAAATAGAGAGGGCTTTACGGAATATGTTGTGGAATGATGAGAATTAGGCTACAGTGGCAGTTGTACTAGGACAAAAGCTTTTGATTACTCAATGCTCAATTCAATTTCAAGCAAATACTCTTCAATTGCAATTGAAAGTCTGAAGAAAGAGAGGGGAACTAAACAGTTCTCTATCGGCAAAAGAAGAAGGGAAATTAGGGGAAATTTTGACGAAAAGACAAAAAGGTCCATACATGTAATGAGATAGCAAGAAATAGTAAGGATATTTTGGGTAACTCAAATATGTATACATGGCTAACCTACTACAACTATATATAGAACTATATATATATATATATACATACATACATATAGAGAGAGAAGGGTTTATTGTATTATACATAAATAAGGGTTAAGAGACATTGTTCTATTGATACCCTGCAAATTTTTATGGTGCTCTTTCTTTCTATTTTTGGACTGACTATGAAAATGCTAGAGTTGTATTCGGTTGTGATACAATTCTTACAATATACAATCTCTTCAAGAATCTTCTCTAAATCTCTTCTACCACCTCATTAGCGAAAGTTCCATCTACTCCAACTCCTCCAATGGTCTCTTCACCTTAATCCCTAAGTGCTTGTCCAAAGGGGGCACAGACATATTGCAACGAGTAGGACATACTCGAGATTGTGTTATTTTCTCTATGGCATACCACAATCATCTAAGGCTAATGTTGCTCAACCACGAACTATAGCTAATGTAGCTCAATCTAGAAAATGTAGAGTGAGAGGTTAAGTAATCAAGGAATTTGAGGAGCTTCAAAACTCCCATGAGTCTTCAACTTAGTGCCTCTGATTATATCTCTTGCATTTCCAAACTATTTACTCATAATCTCATATTGCTTGTTCTGTGTCACCGCCTTCAACATACTTGGAGACAGAACTGAACTCACTACTATAGCATTGCCAACCTTATTCCTTCTGTGCCATAATCTTATGTTTGTATTTGCCCTAACGGCTTTTCAATTTGGTTTCAATATGTCAACTAACTCGAACACTATATTATTCAGTGACATTCTTCTAATTTTTTCATGCTGCAGGATTGAGTTACTAGTGATTGGTACCTGCCACGGGAGTGAAACACATGGACTTTACCACCTTCTTCCCATACTATTGTGCCCTGTCCTTCTGTTTCTAATTCTCAATCACTCCTATATAGTTGATATGGACACCCCAACCTCTCAAAGTTGTGTCAATTACACCAAAATTAATTGCTCAGTAAAACTGTATGGTTTGTCGCTTTCGGGATTCGCTCTATCATCTAAAGCAGTTCCACAAGCTTAGTTCAATCAAAATCAAAATTAGTACAGTTGTCCAAAAATTTGGTTTAATCCTTGCATGCTCATTACCTATGCATGAATCAGATAAAATAAAGAAAACTTAAATGCAACCTTCAAAAATTACATGCCAATCATCGCATGCTACGATTGCAATAAAACTGATTTAGATTTACAAAAGGATGGCACGTAGTAGAATCGAAGGGCATTTATACCTGAAGCTTCTTGAGGAGCTTTTCCAACTTCTCATACTGCTTCTCAATTTGGTGAACCTAGCAACATCAAAAAAGAGGCAAGAAAAGGAGGAAGCACGAAATTTTCAGGAGATCAACTTCAACACGTGGGAGGGGAAGTAATTGAGGAAAGGAAGAGGAGAAAACATAATTATCACACTGTTAATTTTCCGAGATAACATCTAACAAGATTTTGCAGCAAACCTGCTTAAAGAAATCATCAAGACCTAGCTCCCCAGAGTCCATTGGTCTTTGTATTCCCATTTCAATATCTCCATGTCTATCATTTTGATTCCTAGGGGCCTCATAGGTATCAAAACCATCCTACAAGACAAATCAAACAGTTACATAACGAAAAACAACTTTTTTTTTCTTTACAAGCACAAATCAGAAGAATGTAGAACTTTATAAGGAATAATTAAAATGACATTCTTCTGGGATTTGATCAATACCAGCAATATTTTAAAGGAAAAAAATTACTTTTCTGTGACAAGCAAAACCAGTTCCAAACCTGAGTAAAGTACTTGGGTCACTATAGGTTGATAACCGACGTGAATATAGTTTAACTATGATAAATCCTCTGAATTTTGAGCCTACATAGAATGGAATATATATAGATGATTCATATAGTCATTTAAACTAATTATGGGATTAAGGTGCAATTGATCGGTAAAAATACTAGTAATACCAAAGGGCAGAGAACTATTCTAAGGTCTCAAAGAAGTATAGTACAGCATACATCCAATATGGCCATGAAATAATTATTGAAGAAAGAGAAAGAAATAATCCCGGGATAAGTATTAATAAGTACTTAAACATGACAAGATAAAGGTTTTATTTCTACCACATATCTTATTAATTGGACAGACAAGCAAAGCATTTGCAAAATTCTATAGCAAAAGAGAATATTTGATACTAACAGTGAGAAGGAAAACAATTTACAGGTGTCCCACACAAGCTAGGAGAGTATATACCATTTATTAACTGAAACTATAACCATAGGTCACAAAACCAAGTAATTTCTGCATCAAGACTGAGATTCAAACTTTTTGCATAAGCAAAAATGGTCTGATCTGTGGGGTTGTTGAAACCTATAGCTGTTCATGCCAAAAAGGATTCCCTAATGAGCTTTCGTCGAGGAACGTCTTTATCAGAATATTTTTGCTTCTCACTTTGGTCAATTCAGTAAAATGGTTATAACGATGATACATCAGCATTAGCAACGTTATGGTCAATACAAACTTTTTTTCTTTCGAAAGTAGTGTTTGGACTAGCTTGCACACCTCTTCTAATACTCCGGGTATCTGCTACCTCCCACCACCAAACATATAGGATAAATCCAACTACCAAGGGTTAACAAATGGAAGAAATCACCTAACATTTTTTGCCTCTGCTGGGATTTGAATCCTGATCTCTATTGCCCATTACAACTTCATTGAACGATAGGCCACCCCTTGGGTATTGGCCAGTACAAAGACGCATGCATATATATTTCATAAAACTTAAGAGGATATAAATGATTAAGCCTTATGTTTCCATAAGGAGAATATCAAGCTAAAGTATGAGCCTTGTCCCTCAATAAACATGTTTAAGTGAGACTTTGGATGTCTTTCCCGGCCAGTGAAGCCAAAAAGAAATCCTCTTTTTACTTTCTTTGTCATGTTGAAACAGCATTTTTTTAGGAGCCACACTAAGATTTGCAGTTCTTTGTGTACCCAATTCAAAAAGGCAAGTAATATAATAGAAAGGGAAGGGTAAAACAAGGAACTCGCCTTCCTAACCTACATTTAAAATTAGCTGAATCACAGTAGTTACAAGAGGACGACAATGCAGCTTCAAAAATTGCCGGATGCTAAATGTCATAGAACGCTTAGCACATGTACAAATCCATTATTGACAAATACATTATTTAACAGTCAAGTCCATGCTAAACATTTTTCTCCAAATCAAACCAAGCAGAAAAACAATAGCAAACCAACAAATTGCTGCATAATGTTTAGAAATCAACTTCATTCACAGTAGCTAATATAAATATAGTTTAATTTAACTATGAAGAACCCTCTGGTTTTGAGCCTTAGATAGAATGAAATATATAAGATGATTTGTATAGTCATCTCAACTAGTATGGGATTAAAGTGCAATTGATTGGTAAAAATACTAGCAATACCAAAAGGCACAAAACTACTCTAAGGTATAGAAGAAGAAGAAGAATAGCACGACATACATCGAATATGGCCATGAAATCATTATTGAAGAAAGACAAAGGAATAATCCCAGGATAAGTATTTAATAAGTACTTAGACATGACAAGATAAAAGTTTTGATTCTACCACATATTTTATTAATTGGACAGACAAGCAAAGCATTAGCAAAAGAGAGTTTTTGATATTAACAGTGAGAAAGAAAAGAAATTTACAAGTGTCCCGCACAAGCTAGGAGAGTATATACCATTTATAAACTGAAACTTTAACCATAGGTCACATAACCAATTAATTTCTGCATCAAAACTGAGATTCAGACTTTTTTCATAAGCAAAATGGATCTGATGTGGGGTTGTTGAAACCTATAGCTCTTCATGCCAACAGGATTCTCCAAGGAGCTTTCATCCAGTAAAATGGTTATAATGATGATATATCAGCATTAGCTAAAGAAACATTTCTTACAACAGTAGTGTTGGGACTAGCTTGTACACCTCTTCCAATCTGGATCTCCGGGTATCCGCTACCTCCCACCACCAAAGATATAGGATAAGTCTAACTACCAAGGCTTAACAAATGGAAGATTCTGCTGGGATTTGAACCCTGATCGCTATCGTCCATTACAACTTCATTGAACGTTAGGCCACCCCTTGGGTGGTGGTCAGTAAAAGAGGCATGCATATATACTTCATAAAACTTAAGACGACATCAATGATTAAGACTTCTGTTTCCATAATATCAAGCTAAAATATGAGCCTTGTCCCTCAATAAACATGTTTAAATGAGACTTTGGATATCTTTCCCGCCCAGTGAAGCCAAAAGGAGTCTCCTTTTTACTTTCTTTGTTATATTGAATCTTGAAGCAGCATTTTGTTAGGAGACATACTAAAACTTGCATTCTTTGCTTAACCAATTCTACAAGGCAAGTAATGTAGTAGAAAAGGAAGGGGGAAACAAGGAATTTGTCTTCCATTTAAAATAGCTTAATCATAGTAGCCAAAAGAGGACGACAATGCAGCTTCAACAATTGCCACGATGCTAAATGTCATAGAATGCTTAGCACATTACAAATCCATTACAGACAAAATACATCATCCACCATCAAGTCCATACTAAACGCTTTTTCTCCAAATCAAATCAAGCAAGAAAAAAGAAACAAATCAAGAAAATTGTTGCTGCATAACTTTTAGAGATCAACTTCATTCACAGTAGCTAAGAAAGTCCAATATTTAACAATTGTCACAATCCCAGATGTCACTTTATGCAGCCTAATTCCCATCTTTGGCTTACCCATCAACTACAAGTGATCATATATTGCTTCCTACAAATAGAATTCCTTTATTAACAAACCATAAAGCTCACTAACAAAACGTTTTCTTCATATCAAATTAAGCAGAACAAAATAGCAACTTTGCTGACAAGACAGCAATATTTGACAAATTAAGCTTGTGAAAGATGGAAAGAAAGAAAAAACTCAAAAGGGTGAAGAAAGTAATGTCCTTTTTTCCTAACATTTTTATGTAATTTTCAGCAGCCAAAGAAATTAATAAATTGATGTAAAGGGGCAAAAGAAACTTACATTTAAAAGGTCGTTCATGGCGATGGAGACTGAGGAGAGATCTTTTCTTGACTCTCTCTCTTTCAGGTTTTGCGTCAGTGAGAATTTTAGAGAGAGAGAAATAACAGAGAGAATGTGCTTTGCTGTTGTCCTGTTGAAAACAGCTTATGTGACAAAGGAGATGGACAGAGACAGTGGGACGTACTTTTCCTTATTAGTTCAAAAAAAAAAAATCTATTTATAAATAATTTAAATTTAATTTTTTATTTAAATACAATTTTTATAACCACACAAATACTCTTGTTTCACAAAACTTTTATACGGAGGATATTTGGCTAAGCTTATAAGCTGATCAAACTGGCTTATAAACACTTTTTGGCTTATCTACGCGTTTAAAATTAAAAGTACTTATAAGTTAAGTGTTTATAAGCCAAAAATAAGTCAAAAGACATAAGTTGGTATCCCCTAAGTTATCAAATTTCAGCTTATAAGCACTTTAGGTTTGACCAAAATATTTACTATTCTATCCCTAAAATACTTTTTTTTAAAACAAAACTCTTTGTATACCCAATTCTTCAGCTGCTTATTATTAATTTCAGCACTTTTATCCAAATACGTAACTGCTTATTTTTTAAATCAGCTTCAGCACCTAAAAGTGCTTTTCAGCACATAATGCTTATCAGTTACTCTAAATCAGCTAAGCCAAATGGACTCACAGTAAACTTTTAGGACCATAAATTTTAAAATATTTTAACTTGGTGCCAAAACATATAAACTAATACGGAGTACTATCTTACATGAATTACTTCCCACTGTTTTTTATTAATTAATTCAAAAGAATAGCATACTTTGATATTAATTAAAAAAATTATAACTACACACAATATGTAATATATTTAAGACCATAAATTTTGACAACCTCTTTTCATTATTAATTTTGTGTTAAGTAAAAGTGTAAAACTATGTCAAACAAAACAAAGTGAAAGGAAGAATATTTAGTATGAAATTTATTTATTTATTACTTTATAAATCACATAATACAAATTAAACTTTTTTAAAGTATTATTATAATTAGTATTAGTAGTACGTGTTTTTTTCTTTACTAGTTTTACGGTACGCGCATTGCGCGTGTAACCTATCTAAATGAGTATAAAACTTTTTAAAAATTATATAAATATTATTTTTAAATTAAAATAAATGTGTAAATTTATTTCAACAAAGAATATTGATTTTGTATAGCTAATTCAATGAGGAATATCAATTTATACCTTTCGCTCACTATGTTTTCTTTTAGCTATTTTAACTACTACCTTAAATTACTTATGAATAAATGTATATAATTTATTTTAATTACTTTCAATATATAAATTTATCTTATATATGTTTTACTTTTCGAGTATTGTAATCGGTTTTTAATTCAATATGTGTATAAATTTACAATATATATTCAACTAATTCAAATAATTAACTTAAAGTACATTATAGTACTTATTACTTCAAATTAAAAATACTACTATTATTTTCAAAACGTAAGCATGTCGTATTAAACTTATTTATATATATTTTCATACACAACCTAGTATGTTTAAGTTTGGTTTACATATTATTAGTAATCTTTAATTTTTGAAGACCTAAAATTAGATCTAAAATTTTATTAGTAGATTTCTAACACGTTTGTACACATTTTTTCTAATGCACGTGTGAAAATGTCATAATTACTTTACATAATTTATTTAAGGAAAAGATTTATAAGTAAATATTTATTTGGTGTTAAATTCCTAAAATTGAGTTTCTATATATGTAGTCCGAATAAGGGAAAATTTAATGACCAAAATTTAGTTGACTTTTAAGTCCTAAATATTAGTAGAATAATTAAATTATAATTATAACCAATATAAAATCTATATTAAAGGGTAAAAAAGGCGAACGACATTTCGCTAAGGGTCTTCGTGCTAGGATAAGCGCGATGCGCATGTACCTTCTATCGATCCGTATAAAATTATAAAAAATATAAGCCCTTAACAATAAGATTTTTAAAAATATAAGCTCTTGAATATGACAAATATTGAGCCTACTTAGTAACAAAAAATAGTGGATGTTCTATCTAAGCACGACAACAACCAAGATAATTGAAAGTTTAGTGTTATTATGTATCTCGTTCTTTTATATTAATTTCGTATCAAAATAGTCATCTAGGTACCATGTATTCTAAGACAAGTTAACTACAAAGAGAAGAAAAATTAACGATAGATAAATTATGTAGTTAAATAATAAAATTTATCGCTAATCCTACTTAGTGACATAATCAGCTATATATTATAAAAAATCCTATTAGCTACAAGATGAATTTACTAACTAATTCTTGTTTTGAAAAGTTAAATTATGTAGCAAAATTTCTCAGTAATAATATTAGTTTTTGTTTGACCAAAAATAAAAGTCATTTTCCATCTATTTTATTTTAACATATGCATTGAGGTAATTTAGGTACTTTTGTAAATTAAATTATGATAATTAGTTTCTTATCACAAATTAATGATTACTATTTTTTAAACAATAATTACTATTTCAAAACTTAACGCCATAGTAAATTTTAACGAATATAACAACCAAGCTTCTAATAAAATACTTATGATTTAAATTTTAAAAACAACAAATAAATCATATGAAAAGAAAAATTGGTCTTTTTGATTAAACAAGGACAAAGGAAAAAAATACCACATAAAACGTGAAGTTTCCTTGTTGGAAACCAACAAAAATCTTTCCTACTACTTTTTTTGTATTCTTTTATGTCTTAATATATTGTATCTTTATTAGGAGAAGATATCAAACACTAAATTATATTAGATTTTTTTATTTATTTAGAATTCCTAAATATAAGGAAAATTTTTGATTTTATAATTTTATCCAATGTAAATTTTGTTTTTAAAAGGTAAAAAAGGCAAACAACATTTTGCTAAGGACCTTCGTGCTTTTAATATAATATAGATATAGATACTTTGGTCATTTTCCCTTTTGTGATTGAACCTACGCGTAAACATCATGATATTCTGTCCAAATATTTTTCGAAAGTAAGGTGTACTTGCTCGGTTGCATACCATATGTAATGTACAAATTTTAAAGTGAAATAAAAAAACTAAATTAAAAATTAACAAATTAAGTATACGTAAGTTCTGCGCTTTACAAGAATTGTTAGGTTTGAGAGATAGATTGTACCGAATATATGAAAATTTACTTGGGATTAGCCAACTAACACTTCTCGATTTGGAAAAGCATCCCAATATGTTGTTTTTATATAATAAAGAACTATTGCAATTATAACATTTGTTTTCTTCATTTAATCAAAAGAGCGAATTTCGTATAAATTTTCGAAGTTGTAATTATATAATTTTTATTCTTGCTACTTGCTCGATTTTTATTTAGGGAGGGTAAAGTGTCTGAGAAACTTTCTGCTGTCTGCCATGTCACCTGCAAAAAAATTTGAAAACATTATTGTTCAACAAAAAAGAAATTGGATAGTTATAAAATAAATAAGTGACGTAAATCGGAAAAAAAAAAGTAATACTTCAAAAGTTCTTATATATTCGGAATGAGACTGATGGAGACCGCATTGTCTTCAAATACTTTAGTTCTCTATCTAACTATATGATTGACTCAGCATTTTTTTTTAGTCTTAAAAGATTACTTCGTTACTACTATTAAAGCTTTACAGAGGACAATGTGCTCGTGCACTAGTGTGAGCTGATGGTACACGATTAGTTATTATTAACCTATGATCCATAGGTGAATCAGCATTGAAACTATTAGCTACAGTACTACCGTGATCCACAGGTGGATCATTACTTAGTCTATTATCTAGTTGATTACTAGGATCAATACAACTACTAGCTAGGTGGTTACTAGATACGGGAATGGGGAGCATGTTTGTGCATGGATTTACGTTTGGGGTAACATGGTTTTCAAAAATGCAAGGGTTGACAAGTCTCCTGCATACTGCCCCTTCTCTGTTTGCATGGAAAAGATGGTGAACAAAAGGTGGTGGTGTATCAAAAGTTGCAAGCCATCACTACTTGCTAGTTGCGTGCCGTAGTGTGCTAATCCATCAGCTACCATATTTGCCTCTCTGTAAACATGTTGCATAAGTGGATCATCCAGCTGCTTGAGCAACAACTTGCAATCAGTGAGCAAATTAGTATAGTGAGGGTTGTCAGATTGAAGCAAGGTGATTACCTCCTTAGCATCTATGTTGATTTCCAATGGGAGGTATCCATGTTGTAGGGCTAAGCGTAATCCATGGAGTAAGACAAGTAATTCCATTTGTATGTTATTACCAAACTCTGTGTGCTTTGCAAATCCCAAAAGCCAATCCCCTTCAGGTGAACGGATGACACCCCCTATGCCATTAAAACCTGGAGACCTAGCAGCTCCATCAGTGTTTAATTGGTAGTGGTGTGGGTTTGGAGGTTGCCATTTGATATAAAGGGGAGCGTAGGGTTTGTGCTTGTGTTTTGGTAATGTAAGGAATTGATATTCCGCGGCTCGAGTAATTATTTGATGAAAGGGCACTAGGTTACGTTTATGGTTGAAAATATTATGATTTCTTTGGATCCAGATACCCTATAGACAGCAGGGAATTAATGTAGGTGGAGTAATATTGTAAGGGGTGTGGTGTGTGTATTGAGCGATCAGCATTTTGATTAGCTACATTAGAGGAATGTTACTGTCTTTAAGAGAGGTTATAAGGGAGGTAAGACCTAGGTGTGCCCATAAGGAGGTGGAGGCAGTGCATTCGAAGAGGATATGTGTGATAGTCTCCTTGCCTCTAAAACAGTAGAAGCATAGGAGATTAGTGATAATGTTTAGGTGAGCTAAATAAGCATTTGTGGGGAGTTTGTTGTGGCTACATATCCAAAGGAAGTACCTAATTTTTGGTGGTGTAGGTAGTTTCCAAATCCAGGTATTGCTTGAAGGAGGTGTATGTGGTATTAAATCATGATAGCAAGATTGGACGGTAAATTGCCCAGATGGAGTGAGACTCCATATAAGGGAATCAGGATGAGTAGGGTATTGAGGTAGGTAAATACTGAGCATTTTAAGAAGTAGGGTCCAGGAAGCTGAAATGGTAATATGGTTAGATCCCAATTATTGTCGTGGATATAGTAACTAACCTTCTACTGAGACTCTTGAAGT